TCTTTTTGAACATCAAAATAATATATATGTGAACTATGAGCTCCATAGAGAGAAAAAAGTTCCAACACATTTGTCTATATCTTTATACACTTGTCACATTATTTCCTTTTTTAGTCTTATTGTATTTTAGTCTTATTGTATTTTTCGAACTTATGGTTTACCAAATTTGCTACTGTTTGTTTAACTACACTCACGTTAAGCCATCCACCTATCCTGTGACAATTGTGTCTGGGGATATTGGGTGAGTTTTAGTACCAGGGTTAGGGACTTGGAGAATAACCTGAAAAATTATGTTTTTGTTTATAACAGTACCAGTAGGTAGTGACAAAGAATCCAGAGTACTTCACACAATATTATCCTGATTTAATCAGATACCAAATTAAAATTATGAAGATTTAGCAAGGATCCACAGGCAGACATTGGCATAGCAACTAAACTGATCATTATATGGCAGATAGAGAGACAATTTGCATCCTTAACCAAGAATTTAAAAAACTGGACTGTTCTTGCCCAACTCTTCTTATTGCAGTACATAATACTTTTGTGCTATTTGCACTCAAACAAATGCAATCATCTCAGCTCTTTCATGTAATTAAGTCCATGTCTGATTTCATTTTCCTTAATTAGCTTTTTGATCTTTTCTGATTAACAGAAAGTAAACTCAGTTCTATGTGGTGCTCTCTTCAGGGATTTCTTGTCACATTCATTTTTTACACAGAATAGTTTAACTGTCATTTCTGTCGTTTAACTGTTTATTACATTAAATCTTGCAATGTAAGGTAGAAAATATGTATTATTCTGCTGCCTAGGCAATCAAAGCTCTGCACATATTTTATTTTCAACTTATGCTGTAGGGTGCTTCATAAAGATGCATCATATATTAAAAACTATTATATTCCCATATTTTGCATATGTCCCAGACTTTATGGCTAGCTATTTGCACACAAAATGAACAGCACGATACACAATTACTTGCTCTGTGGACAAAATTTAAATAGCACGTTTTTAAAAAACAGCTAGGTCCTTTTTTTTGGATCCCCACATGAGGCACCTGGGTTCTCATTTGTAAATGCACCAACACTCATAACTTCAATTGAGGTGAATGAAAGTTTAACATTCTTTCCATATATTTTCTTTGGATGCAATAATTAATACCAAAGCATATGACACCAGGGTTATGGATTTACATTGGATGCAAGTTTAAGTTGATGTATATATTGTTTATTGGTATGTGACATGTAAAAAGAGAAAAATGGGAATAGTGAAAACACAAAAAAAGTTAGACCTAAATCCTAAATTTACCAAAATAAATTATACTTGTATAAGAACTTTACACCAGTTTAACTATATCCACACTAGGTGTTGCACTGATTTAACTCTACTGGTTTTGTAAGGGCTGGAGGCCTGGGGTAAGCAAGCTTAGTACTAAGGAGACACAGGCACCTTAACAGGGATCAGCTGGTTTCCAAGCCCATAAAGAGCAGCAGAAAGTTCCAGAGACGGGGAATGCTGAGGAAGGTCAGACAGCAATACACAGGCTGCTCGGAGCAAGTAGATTCCATCAGAAAAAACCTGGATTTGGAAGTGAGACTTCATACACGTGAGAATATAGGCAAAAAAGGCCCGTGTGAGACGTAGTAAGAGGGTAAATTGATGGATTTGAGAACTTTATTTTGAACTATTTCAATAATTAAACCAGACCTTCAAAGACAGAAGATACTGGATTGTATTCCTGTGTGTGGAGTTTAGTTAAGGAGCCCCTGAGAGAGAAAAACTGAGGCAGGGTGTCAAAAAGCCACCCCCTGACCATGAGAGGGCATCCAGAAAGCAGTATGACTAGACAGATTCTAAATAAATATGGTTAAAACAGTACAAACATTTTTTGGAAACTAACTCTTTTAATCTATAAAAACAACCAAATTTGAAAAAGAGGCCATTTGAATGTTTAAGTGATACAAGAAAATTCAGATTAATTACTTCACATACAAAATAACTAACACACATAATAAATTACAGAATGTTGAGAGATTACTTGATTGTCTTCCATAACAGCAATAATGGCATTTCTGGAGGCTTGCAACACTCATTTAATGACTGGACAGAGAAATTAATGGCCCAAGGCAAAGACAAGAGTAACACTTTACTGTCATTACCTGACAGGGGGCATGTAAGTGGTCATTAGCCCATAATACATTTTTTATTTTGCATAACTTAGAACACACACTAGGTATAACATACAATTTGAGGTTCTCCATTGTTTCAACATAGATTACTTTTCTCAGCTTTTGAAGTTATTTACCTGTCGAAAAGTAAATACTTTTCATCCATCAAAAAGCTTTTCTAAGAGTTCTATAATTGCAGATCCATTCTCAAATGCACCCATAAAAGTACTGAAAGATACCATAATTCTCAAAACTATTCAGCTATTGCTTCATAATGAAAATATGCAGTAAATTTTGCTATTTCTGGTCCATTAAGTCTCTCAAATCTACATAAAAATTACATTTACGATTAGAACCTTATACTCACATTAAGTAAAAAGACTACATTCAGATATGTCTGATTTCTATCATGTCAGTTTGCAGTCATTCTCTCTCTCAGTTTATTCATTCCCTCTCCCCCTCCTCCCACCTCCTCTCTCTCTCTCTTTCTTCCCCCTCCCCCTCAATACAGACAAGCAGACTTACCGGGTGTCCTTCAGGACAGGATCTTGGAGATCGGGGGAGGGGGCAGTAGGCTGGGAGTAGGGACTAAGGATGTTAAAGACTAGACTGCTTATCGGACAGTCTTTTGACTCATAGACTAGTCGATAGGCACTTCTACATTCCTCCTTTGAAATGTACAAGAGCTGTTTGGCAGCTGTCCCTTTAAACCACGTGATTCAAAGGGGCAGCTGCCTGGAGCCCAAGGTCAGCTGGGGGACTCCTCAGCTGACCCTAGGCTCCTAGCAGCATGCAGCGTAGCATGGAGCTCGGGGTCAGCGGGGGACTCTGAATCTCCCATTGATCCTGGGCTCCATGGCTTTGAAATGCACAAAAGCCCACACTGGGGACTCTTGTGCATTTCAAAGAAGGCACCCACATACAGCCCGGAGTCAGCCCCAGTAGGGGCTCTTGTACATTTCAAAGGAGGGTAAAATGGGGTTACTTACCCAATATGCTGGCAGGCAAGATGGAAGAGCCCTAGCTCTGCTGGCCACTCCCATGGTGGTACAGCTGCCCGCAATGGACACTCTGCAGGATACAAGATAGCTCTTCCCTGTGGGCTTGCTGCCCCCATGGCCACTCCCGTAACACATCCCTCCAAACAGCAGCCTCTCCCTTTGCATGTTATGGAAAACTGTCCTTATCTTGGGGCTTCCCATTGTCCTGTCATAACCAAACCCTCAGCTCGCTTTAAGTTAGGAGAAGAGGAAGCTGTATATCAGATTTGATGGCCCTAGCTTTTACCATTTAGGAGGAGTTCTTAAACAAACAGACTCACAGATACATACTATATATGTGTGTGTTTATCTGTATTTATATCTGTATCTATCTATATATATAAATGTAGAGCTATAAATAAGAACATTATTTTCTCAACAGCCTAGAGACAGAAGTTCAACAAACTTTTTTAGCTCAGTGGCCACAGAGCCTAATCCTGATTCACTACTTGAAAATAATTTCTGCTAGCATTAGTTACAATACTATTTAGTTACAGGATAAGACTGTAATACTAAATGTTTAAAGACATCAGTGTTCAGTGACATCATAATAGAATAAGTTGTGCTAGACAGAGCCATACATATCTTCAACAGCTGAGAATACTCAGGATTTTATTCTAGCATCAGAACTCAGGCAACAGGCTTCCCTGGTGTTCAGAATTTAAAGCTAATATCCATGTTTCCACTCTGGCAGAAGCAGTAGGCACTGAAACACCAGAGTGATGGGCCTGGTGTAAGAACCTAAACATAATAGAATACTACCATAATCTTTCCCCCATTTGTGCATCTCAATTCTGGATCAGCCGTGCCAATGGAAATATTTCAAAGTCAAAGTCTATAGTATACATTATTTTATATCTTCCTTTTGAGCTATGTTTCATGACAATCTACATAAAGCCTCCTCTATTTTGAAATAATCCACAGTCTGTGGATCAAATAAACTACAGAAAACTATTGTCTGGCTTTTACATTTAGCATTTAAATAGTTCTTGATGTGAGAAATTGAAAAGCACTTTATTCATACATATCAAGATCTAATGAACCTGTGTGATTAGTATATTTTCTTTTCTTACTAAAAAGTCATTAGATCTGTTATGATTTTATACATAGAAACATGGTACATGCATTTAATTACCTTCAGTTAAAGTTTAGGTTAAGAAAGATTCATTATTGTAGGTAGAATATCAGTATCTGTATATCAGAATATAAGTGATGCTCCTAATGAATACAGATCTATTTAAAATGCATGTATCTATGTACTAATAAGTTCACGTTAGTTCTTTTTAAGACCTACAATGTGTAATTAGATGGCTATCTGCTAAGCATCTCAGCAGAGCAACTAACTTCAGTTCCTAAATACTTTGCTGATTTAGGGTCTCAGGCCATGTCTGCACTTACCAGCAGATTGGCACTGCTGCAATGGTGTGTAGCTAGGGAAGATCCGCTAAATCAATTGCAGAGCACTCTCCAGTCACTAAGAGTAGGGTAAGTCAGCATGAAAGCATCTCCCATCAACACAGCATGGTGTAAACATGGCAATAAGTCAACCTAAGATAAGTCAACTTCAGTTACTTCATGTAACTTGAGCAATGACACTTGGGTAGACTTGTGGTAGTATAGACAAGGCCTCAGCACTGAAGCTTTTTCAGAAGCAGCAAAAAAGGTCTATAGGAAAAACACCTTACATCAGTGTATCTGGAATCCAAATTTACAGCTTTGCATGTATTCTCTTTGATTTTTCAGACTGCAATTTCCTTTGTGTAAATGGTAGAAAGTTTGGGATGTGATAGCAACTTGCCTGATCAATATAAAAAGCAGTCCCAGCTCGTATCTCTCTGCGCTGTTTGAGATCAGTTTCTGTGGTGTCCCTCGAGAGTGCAATATACTCAACCTCACGTTTGGTCAGTTCCTGCGGGCAGTAGTGAGAAATTATTACAAAGCCCTAGGCTGCAGCACAGTCATTTAAAGTAACTCTGAACAAAAATTTAATATCTCTTAGTTTTAAGATGTCTGCAGTGTGTTTCTCTCACACACATAATAGATTGAATTTTTTCTCTATAAATCTTGTATATTCCCCCCAACCTGTTCTAAAAGTCATAACAACCAGCTATAAATTCTCTAAACTAAATTCTCTAAACTCTAAGCTGATCTCTGTCAATCCTGTAAAAGACATTTGTTCTTCTGGAGGTCTCAATGGGGGACTGAGAGATATACACCAAGAATGCTGATATGTTGCATCTTTACTAAATCTTTCTTCCCAACTTGCTCATTTGAACAGTTGTAAGCAAAAAATTCAAACATAAAAGATTTTCAAGCAATCTAAATAACTACCATTTAATTACATTTCACTTCCTTGACATCTAGTAAGTTATTATGATACCAGTTCTCTCATGGTCCATATAATTTCCCAGGACAGATGCAATCTGCATTTCTAATACAAACAAACAAAACATGACAAAAAAAATGCAGGCAGGCTTTCTTTATATATGAGGGAACACAGAAGGGCAAACTGTGGTAGATTTCTGAGTTAATGGGTTAAGTCACATATCCTTGGATCACAGTGGGGTAGGCTAGAAACCTAACACATGGTGCAGTCACAAGACCTCCAACAAATCTTTTAAGTCTAGGGTGTGGGTGACATACTCCCTCCTCTTTCCTCTGGCAGGGTGTAAAAATCCTATGCACACCTCTCTAGCTAAACACTAAGATAAAAATTTACAAGGGAAACATCAAAGTATTTTTCCCCCCTCAACACCTTCCCTTGGTTTTTCCATGTAGGCACCAATATGGCTCATTGTCTTTTACAGTATGCAGAGATTTTGATTCTGAAAGATGTGAAATACAAAAAACAGACTGTTTTCCCATTTGTGATCACATATGGTTACACTTTATCAACTGCTTTTTCTTAGTAACATTTAATTGCTTAAGCAAAAACATTCACTTAAAGTTTGAACTTTTTATTTATTGCAAAATAAAAATCAAACTTTGAGAAGTATTTGCATAGAATAAGTTCTTTGGCAACTAAGTTTTAAATCAAGTCATATAAGCTTTTCTAATATTATCTTTTACAATTCAAGAATATAATACACACCCCAATTAAATAATCGTAACTACTTCCACTCTCCATTAATATAAACAAAATTTCAAAATGTACCAGGTACTGCATAGCAATAGAGCGTCGAAGAGGTCCAGGGGGGCCTATAAGAAAGACATCTTGCCCCAAAAGGTCTTTTTGCATTATCCATCTTAGATGTTGGACTACAGACTGGGTCACACTGTCTGACACTGAAAGAAAAAAAATACAAATTAATTCTAGTCTAAATTATGGAGCTTTAACAAATAAGGTTGGTGTCCAATAAGGATTACTGATATACTCCTTATTTATTTTGATTTTAAAATAGAGAGAGGGAGAGGGAGAGGGAGAGGGAGAAAGAAAGAAAGAAAGAAAGAAAGAAAGAAAGAAAGAAAGAAAGAAAGAAAGAAAGAAAGAAAGAAAGAAAGAAAGAAAGAAAGAAAGAAAGAAGAATAATTCGAAAGTGGCTAATTGTGCAGCTATCTATCCTACCTATCCTAATTCTCCCTGCCTCACTTCATTCATTTGTTTGTTACAATTTGTCTCAAATTGGCTTTTAAACTCTTCAAGGCAGGGACTGGCTTTTATTATGAGTTTATTCAGTACCTTGCAAAATCTGGCACCAGTCTTGACTACTGTAACATGAATAATAAACAAATGATTATTATTATTGTTGTTATTAGAGACACGGGATTTATCTGGACTGTACTTCATTGCTTTCATATACCGTACAATGATATTTAATAGATAGTAATGTTTGCACCAGATCAAATAGCTCAAGTTGCAGTGACAAATAAGGTTTAATTTACTAGGGTTTTTTAATCAAATTTTTCTATACATTTTAATCTACTGTAATACAGATAAGTGGCTATTCAGAGTTAAAAATTCTAAGTAGAGTCAAATCCTAGTACTTCAGTCTTCAACAATATTCAGACTGAAAGGTAACAGGCTCAAAGCAAATTCACTGGCTCTACATTAGAGTTTCTGAACTCAGGGATGGAAGAATACCAGAAAAATACTACTTATCCTGTTAATTTACGTTGCCGTATACTGTTCAAAGCATAGTTTGATACAATTGGTATCGTTTTTTATTTGTGTGTTTCTTCTTACGCTCTGATATGCAAAAGTTGGTAATTTGCGATAGGTTTCCCAATCATAACTAAAAACTAAGATTCTTCTGTGTCCTATTTTCATTCTTCCTATGTTTTGTAGCAGCCTTTCAGCAAACAATCATAAGTATGCTTACAATACATTACTAGAGATAGTAATGGACTTGCAAACAAAAAATGTACCCAAAATATTTGATAAGATGAACAACAAAAAAGCAAAAACACATTCAAAACCAAATGGTTTCTATAAATGGTTACACCAAAACAACTATACCAGTCAATCTCTCTTAGACACAAGCCATCACAGAAGATTTTGTGCCTTCCACAGCACATTCAATTCTCAACTCCGCGTATTCCCAAATTAGCGTCCAAGAAAAAGCAATATAAAAGTCAGTCTGTTCTTTATCTCCCACATGACAGTAACATCTCCCTTAGGTTCTTAAGTGTTGGACGAGCTACTGGCACTGAGACATAAAAAATAATTAGCCATTAGGAACCACATATATGTTTCCTCTGTGACTTGCCACAGAAATAGACTGAGCATGTTTAGGAGAGGCAATGAAGGAACACCTAAAGCAGGCAGGGACAAACAATGTTCTTATGCCTTTTCCTTACAGTGGGTAAAATCCTGACCCCACTCATGTCAATAAGAATCAAGCCTCTGACTTCAGTGAAGCAAGGATTCCATCCAGTGCCTTTAGCCTATATGAATCTGTCTCCACACAAATCAAACTTTATGTTGCCCTTATACAAACTCCCAGAATGTGGAAAGACTGTCACAAATTCAAAGCAAAGGAGTTTTGTAGAAAACAGAATTTTTAAGGAAGAGAGTGGTCTGAGCCATCTGGTTACGCTGAACCATGTTTTTGAGGGTCAACTCAGAATTCGACAAGAACAACAACATTTTGAAAAACCAGGATATTAAACAGAAAATCTAAAGGTTACCGCACCTCTCTTGATTTAAAAAAGACATTAAGCTGTACAAATGGTCTTCATTTCATACAATCTGCCCCAGAAAAATTCTCCGTATCTTTCTCCCAGAACAATCTTAAAGCAAGACTTATTCACACAGTGGTGCCAAGGGAATCATAGAACACTAGAACTGGAAAAGACCTCGAGAGGTCATCAAGTCCATTCCCCTGCCCTCATGACAGGACCAAGTACCGTCTAGACCATCTCTGATTGATGTCTATTTAACCTGCTCTTAAATATCTCCAGAGATGGAGATTCCACTGCCTCCCTAGGCAATTTAATCCAGTCTTTAACCACCTTGACAGTTAGGAAGTTTTTCCTAATGTCCAACCTAAACCTCCAGTTTAAGCCCCTTGCTTCTTGTCAAGATATGAGCACCATCATTACCAAGAATCAGTGTTTTTTTTGTAAGAAAAAAGGTGCTGGTACTCTGGGGCAAAGTTGTTGAGCCAAAAAAAAAAAAAAAAACCATGCTGGGGGCCGAAATGTGGTTGTGGCCCCTTTAAAAGCCAAAACACCGTGCTGGGAGCCAAAAAAACAAAACCCGCCGCGCATCCCAAGCAGCTTCCATCAGGAGCCGAGCCAAGCCACCCCAGGAAAATGGTATGCATGGGGAAAATGCAATTTCTTTTCTGTGTGTTGGGAAAAGAGATGACGATACACCGTTCCGGGCCGTACTGTCACAAAAAAAGCACTGCCAAGAATCACTGTCAATGGATGGGTCACGTGTTCTAGATGGAAACTGATTCCATCACCAGAATAGCAGTAAGCTGGAAACTGAAAGCAAAAGAAACTAAGGCTGCCTGAAAACAACATGGTGAAGCAGATCTGAAACATCTGCGGTATAGCTAAGGAACCACTGAAAGACTTGCCAGAAACAAAAATGAGTGTAGAGTCCATCACTGCCCTAAATGCCAGAGACGTAATGGGTACTCACTAATTACACCAGGCTGTACATTCCGTAAGAAGCAGGAATTAAGATATAGGGCTGTTTTGTTTCCACCCAAGACCAGTAAGAAGCATAGAATAGAGGTAGCTGTTGTCCTCTGAGGCAACTGCTACATGAAAGTCTTAGCAGAATCAGAGCCTAAAGTGTCAAAGTCCATATTCTTTGGACTGCTTCATATGCTAATGATGTACCCAAGCCTTGCAGAAAATAAAACAAAGAAAACCAATCTTGAAAGAAAAGTAACATACATAGAGGTTTTCTAATGTCTGGTTTCCTTTTTTATTATTATATTTTATTAGATGTTTTGATAGTTATGAAAAATTCATAGAATCACAAGGCTGGAAGAGACCTCAGGAGGTGATAGACTCCAGCCCCCTGCCCAAAGCAGGACCAATCCCAACTAGATCAACCAGCCAGGGCTTTGTCAAGCTGAGACTTAAAAACCTCTAGGGATGGAGATTCCACCATCTCCCTAGGTAACCCATTCCAGTGCTACACCACCCTCCTAGTAAAATAGCTTTTCCTAATGTCCAACCTAGACCTCTCCCACCATAACTTGAGACCAGTGCTCTTTTTCTGCCATCTGTCACTACTGAGAACAGCCTTTCTCTATCCTCTTTGGTACCTCCCTTCAGGAAGTTGAAGGCTACTATCAAATTCCCCCTCACTCTTCTCTTCTGCAGACTAAATAAGCCCAAATCCCTCGGCTTCTCCTCATAGATCATGTGCTCCAGCCCCCTATTCATTTTCACTGCCCTCCACTGGACTTTTTCCAATGTGTCCACATCTTTTCTGTAGTAGGAGCCCCAGAACTGGATGCAATACTCTAGATGTGGCCTCAAAACTGCCGAATAAAGGGGAATAATCACTTCCCTTTAGATCTGCTGGTAATGCTCCTCCTAATGCAACTTAATATTCTATTCACCTTCTTGGCTACAAGGGCACACTGTTGACTCATATCTAGCTCTCATCCACTGTAATCCCCAGGTCCTTTTCTGCTGAACTGCTACTTAGGCATTCGGTCCCCAGCCTGTAACAATGCTTAGGATTCTTCTGTCCCAAGTGCAGGACTCTTCACTTGTCCTTGTTGAACCTCATCAGATTTCTTTTGGCCCAATCCTCCAATCTGTCAAAGTCACTCTGCACCCTATCCCTGCCCTCCAACCTATCTACCTCTCCCCTTATCTTAGTGTCATCTTCAAACTTGCTGAGGGTGCAATCCATCCCCTCATCCAGGACATTAATAAAAATGTTGAACAAAATCGGCCCTAGAATTGATCTTTGGGACACTCCGCTAGAAACTGACTGCCAATCTGACATTGAGTTGATCACTAACTGTTGGTTTCAACAATCTATCCATTTTACAGTCCATTTATCTAATCCATACTTCTGTAACTTTCTGGCAAGAATATTGTGGGAGACAGTATCAAAAGCTTTGCTAAAATTAAGGTATATCACATCCACCGATTTTCCCATATCCACAGAACCAGTTACCTCATCATAGAAACTAATCAGATTGGTCAGGCATGACTTGCCCTTGGTGAATCCATGATAACTTTTCCTGATCACTTTCTCCTCTTCCAAGTGCTTCAAAATGGATTCTTTGAGGATCCCCTCCATGATTTTTCTGGGGACTGAGATAAGGCTGATTGGCCTGTATTTCCCTGGATTGTCCTTCTTCCCTTTTTTAAAGATGGGCACTACATTTGCCTTTTTCCAGTTATCGGGGATCTCTCCCAATCTCCATGAGTTTTCAAAGATAATGGCCAAAGGCTCTGCAATGACATTTGCCAACTCCCTAAGTACCCTCGGATACATTAAATCCAGACCCAAGGATTTGTGTATGTCTAGCTTTTGTAAATAGTTCTTAACGTGTTCTTTCTCCACTGTGGGCTGCCCACCTCCTTCTCATACTGTGTTGCCTAGAGGTGACCTTGTCTGCGAAGACAGAGGCAAATAAGTATTGAGTACTTCAGTTTTTCCCACATTATCTGTCATTAGGTTACCCCCCTCATCCAGTAAGGGCCCCACACCCTTTCTGATCACCCTCTTATTACCCTTTCTTGTTACCCTTCACATACCTTGCTAGCTGCAATTCCAATTGCGCTTTCACCTTCCTGATAACTCCCTTGCATTCTCGAGCAATATATTTATACTCCTCCCTAGTCATCTGTCCAAGTTT